AATTGAAGGAAAGTTGTATCTTGCAAGTGCTTTTAATCCTCTATTGAAATAAAAGTGTTTGCTTCGTTTTTCCTACGAGTTTCTATTGTGTTTCTCCCAATTTTCTCCGGTTTCCTGTTGTTTTCTGCTGTGGTCCTGTGGACAGCAGTTTTGCTGTTGAAGTTTCACCGATTTGGGTTAGGATTACTTGCGAACTCAAGTATTTCCTATCAAAAACCTTAATGACTTACCTCAGCACAAAAATGCCTCGACCAAAACAAAGAAAATAGATAGATTCATCTAATATCATTCGTGGGTTATGGCTTTGATGAGAAAAATCTCCAAAAAGGAACTCCTATAGCCTGCTACAACCAATTTGACTCTACAAAGCATGTTGGAAGTAAGGCAATCTTTAGATGCAACATTCACTTCCACAAATTGACTTATTTGTGCTTTGGAAAACAAATTTTAGGGGAAAGAATGTAGAAATATTACTCTAAATGAAAGGTTTAGGTTGAGTGTTATACATGCAATAACAACAACAAAGCCAATTTTTCATGTCATGGGCATAGTTAATGCAAAGAAAAAGTTAGCTATGGCTTTGTAATGCAATGGATGAGGCGTATGATTTGATAGCATGTAACCTAGAAGAAGATGAGCCCAACTATAAGAATATTTGAAAACTCATTGATAAGAAATGGGAGCTTTAACTCCATCATCATTTGCATGCTGTTAAATATTACCTTAATCCTCAATTCCAATATGGTAAAGAATAAATGACCAATCCAAAGATCAAATCAAGATTGTATCATTCCATAAATTGGTTGATAGCTGACTCAATTGAGATAACGAGTGATGATATGCAACTTACACCACTCAAAAATAAGAGAAGATTATTTGGACTACAACAAGCCAAATATATAATTGCAAAACAATCTCTAGGTAATTTTTAATATTAATTGATTGAAATCAAAAGGACTCCCAATTCTAACTATGTTTTTTTTCCCGAATTTAGTTTAAATGATGTATCCAATTTGATGATGACACTCCATTGCTACTACAATTTGACTATTAATTTCATGAAACTTACATATTCATCATTTAGATGTTAGCAAAATTGGATTGCCAATAATCAAATTCATACAAATAGTAGAAATCGTCTCACCATCTTAAAGATGAACTTCTAGATGTAAATCATGTACAACAAGAGATTGAAAAATAAAAATGGCCTTAAAGGATGACAAGGGTCCCTTATTTTGTAATAATATAATATCAAATGATGAATATTTTATGGATGATAATAAAAAAAATCACACCATCTAATTTGCAACAAGATCGAAATATTATTGAAATATTGATTTCTTTGATAGGGATGAAAACAAGGCAAATATGTCTAACACAAGCTATTAAAAAATAAAAGGAAAAGTATAAAAAAATTTAGGTTTTTTAGTTGTTTTAAACTTTAATTAGGGTTATTAATTTCTGATTGATTATTACTTATTAGGAAAGAGGAATATAATGGAGTTATGATAATGACTCTAACAAATATCTCTCAAGTGAAGAGAGTGTTGAGGACATCTAATTAGTGACTTATTATATTCTTATTTGGATGTATGATAGTATGAGTGGGAGAGATAAACTTATTATGTTAAACTTCATTTCAATTGTTATATCTTGAAATAATATGTTATAGACCTTACTTTTTACTTTGACATCTAATGTTACTTTGATGTTTGCATCACATTTCTACTTTGCGTAATTTTTATACGATATTTTGCGCAATTTGTTATTTGATATTTGTGCAATGTGTTATTTCTTATAATATTAGAATTTTAATAGGTTATTTTTAATATACTAATAGTTAATAATTTAATACTTAATATAGTAATATATTACTTCTTAACAGTAATTTGACTTTGCACTATTTTTTTAATGTGAGACTTACACCTCACCTCACTGGATAAGAACACCTCAATACTCAATTTTATACCTTGCATACAAGAAGCCTTAAAATAAACTAAAATACTAAAAAGGAATAAATGATTAAAAATAATAATAAAATAAGCAAACCTCAAGCTTAAACCAATAAAAAATCTCTCTTAGAAGAGTTTTAAATCTCACACATGATCAATGATTAAATCTAGATGATGAAAAAGAAAGTATTCACATCCCACATAAAATTTTACTCTATATATTAACTATCTTGCATGACACAAAATTTTCATATTCATAGATAGAAGACATAAGCAACTTTGAATAATTGCAAACAAATCACTAATAAAATGATAACAAACTATTAATAAACTACTAACATATTGTTAATAAATTGCTAACAAACTCAATGACATTGAGTAAAATAAATCTAAAAAAGGGGATTTACATACATACCACTTTATATCATGCTATTTACATATCTAACACTCAAAATTTTAATATTATAGGTAAAGTGAATGAAGAATTAAAGTTTATAGGATGGAATGAGTGGTAGGAATGAAATATAGGAGTGACATTGGTGATATTAAAGTTGTCTATAGGAGGTAGTCATGTAATATTTAAATTTTGGGTGTTAAATATATAAATATCATGATATAAAGTTTTATGTATGTAAATTCCCCATCTAAAAAATGAAATTTAAATGACAAATAACTCTATTTTTAATGATCAACGCGCTAGGGTTTTTTCCGCTCCCGTTCCGGCTGCCGCTCGGGCTGCCGTCCGGGCAGCTCGCTCCCGTCCGGTCGCCATCCCGGCCTCCATGCTGAGGCCGGCCACGTTTCCTGCCATTGCCATCTCCGTCTATCTTTGCACCCGTTTCCGATTTTTGCTCCCACGCCAAGGCCCGCACTCCCGTCGCAGTTTTGATCCTGCAGGTTCCAGGATGTGAGTTTTGCCTGGACACTCCAGCCATTGCCCTCTTCAGCGGCTTTTCATCTGGCGTTCATCTGGTTTGATTTCTTCTTGTCCCCTCTTATGGCTGCTAGTCGTTTGCGTAACCTGGGTTTTCTAGATGGAATTTCTCAGTCTCGTTCTATTCGGGAGGTCCTGTCCGGGACCTCCTCCGTTTCGACTTTTCCAGCTTTGAAGGTTTCTTCCTGCAAAGGTCTTCCTGCTTTATTGATTTCTGATGAGGAATTGAATGCCCTAGTTGCGCCTTTTGAGTTTGCCTTGGTCGGGAATTTTCCCGGCAGTCGTCCGTCGCTAGAATCAATTCGTAAATTTTTCTTCAATCTTAAGCTGAATGATGAGTTCTCAGTCACTGTTCTCAACAAGAATAATGTATTGATCAAACTTAGGAATGATTTGGATTACTATCAAGTTTTCGCTCATCGTTCCTATTTTGTTAACAACTGTTACATGAAGTTGGTTAAATGGTCTCCACATTTTGACGTTTTTGTGGAATCTCCTATCATTCCGATTTGGATTTCTTTCCCTAACCTTCACCCTCATTTGTTCTCTTCCCGTATTTTTCAAGGGTTGGGGTCCATTTTTGGTCGACCCTTAAAGATTGATAATGCTACTGCCAATGGTACTAGACCGTCAGTTGCTCGTGTACTTGTTGAGTTAGATATTACTAAGCGGTATCCAGATCAAGTTTGGCTTGGTTCTGAAACTTTGGGTTATGCTCAAAATGTGGAAGTGGAAGTTTTCCCCTTCTATTGTGGTCATTGTAAAACTTTGGGTCATTCAAAAGCTGATTGTAGTGTGTTGCATCCTCATTCTGTTGCTGTCCCCACACCTGGGATTGGTTCAGTTTTGGAACCTGTGGCTCTTCATGTGGCTAAGATTGATAAGGTGGTTTCTGGTACTTGTGTCCAACCTTTGGCACATGTGGATTTGGGTTTGTCTGCTGATGTTGTTTGTTCTGTTGAGTTAATTAACTCGGATGTTGTTGCGGTGATTGACATGCCGCAAAACCCCTTGGCTGTTGAGGTTGTTCCTGTGAATGCATTAGTTGCACCAGTTGTTGTGCCTGAGTCGTTTGCTCCTCCCTGCACTACCCCTTGCTTACTTGTCTCACCTGATGAAGTTTAGACTGCTGATGTGACAGATGATGCTCTTTCGGTTGGTATTGATGGTGAGGGTACCTTGCCTATTGTTGTTGGTTTGGGGAAGAAGATGGATGGTAGGGGTGGGGTGGTTTTGATGCTATTTTGAATACCAATGCTGTGTTTTGTGCTCTTTCAGACGGAGATGTTCCATTGTCTAAAAATTTTGAAGAGCCACTTTTGAATGTGCCATTATCCCTTGTTTCCAAGGATGATATGCAGTCTCGCATTTCGAGGGATAGTGAGGTGATGAGGGGTGACTGGTTACAAGCCGATAATTCCTCAGCTGATGGTGAAGATTTTGATGAGGATGATTTGGCTTCAAGAACGGAATTTATTAAAAGAAGTGAAAACGTAGAGCTCGTAATTCTAGAAAGAAGTGATGCTCTTTTTGCTTTATTTTTTTGTTCTTTAGATTCCTGTCTTTAGTTTGAATCTTTGGCTCATAGGTTTTCTTTTAATTGTTGTATTTCTAGAGGGCTTTAGATTCATTAAGGACTTGTACCCTTATTTTGTTTTTAACTTGTATGCCCCTTATGCGGTTTTAAAAAAAAAAAAAACTCTATTTTTAATGAAAAAATTAAATTCATAATTTATGTCCAAATAATCGTTACTAGCACATAAACTTATTATTTATGTCAAGATCATAGACACTACCATATAAACAAGTTTTTCCTAACATAGAATGGCATAATTTTGACATGATAAGGCACATCAACTCCATCACAATGAATCTTTAGCAGTATTTGTCACTTCAATTGGACAACTGATAAGTCAGGCTGCCTGCATGACGAAATCAAATGCATAGAACTCGTACTGTGCCGAGCAATACCTTGGTTTGGACATTTGAGCTGTGGGTCAGACCTTATTTTAGAAACTAAGGTTCAACGTTAAAGCTTCCCCTGGCTTTAACGGTCCTAACACTATATGGCAAAATATGCATGCAAATTTGTTTATGAAAGAAGTATAGGATACGTATCTGTGGAGATATTCCTGCCATCGCCATCTAAAATTGAGTTTATAATCAGAAGGGAAGAAAGTTGCAAAACTTGTAAGGTTTGCTCATACAGTTTCTTCTTACATTTGTCCATTCATCACCTGGATTGATATCCACTGGTCGCATGTGGCTGCCAGATAGAAAACAATAAAATGATTTAGATATTATTTTATCAAAGGTTGGGATAAGTATTACAACTAGCAGATAAGCAATTCCTCATATATATATATATATATATAAGAATGGCCATCTAATAATAATGCTCAAATAACTCATACAGCATGAAAAACTTAAAGCAACAAAAAAAAAATCAGAAAGATGAAGTAGTTCTTATATAATTGCTTCTATATGATAAAAGAGCTATTGAATCAGGAGTAAAATTAGAATGCACTAGGTATAATTATTCTGAGCTATGCTAGACAATAAATTAGTCATCATGTTGAACAGCAATTGATAAATTCCATGAAATATACATATATACTGACATATTGTAAGAAAAGTGAACAGTAATTACCTTCTTGAGAGAACCTGATCACAAATTGGGCATGCACCATCATTGCTGAGTATCTTTCCAGCATCTTCTGTGCCTTACTCCACTAATTAAGGATTCCAAGTATGTATATACTTTTATGTGCTTCTATTAAACTGCAATCTCTTTTTGAAATAACTAATAACAAGATTAATTGGATACACAAGAGGTGGCCACAGGTGGTTGAAATCGCCTGGCCTTCCAACTCCCGCCAGCAGGCATTGCACCTCATTTTACACGAGGCTGTTTGGTATGGGATTTGTAGCCGGATTTACCCCGGATTTAAGGTAAATCCTGCAAAACGGTTTCCGAGCGCACAGCAAATCCGAATCCCTAGAAAATCCCGGATTTACGGAGCAAAATCCGGGATTTACTAAATCCCGTCGTTCGGCGGATTTAGGGATTTACAGACAACGGTTTACGGATTTAGCGTATGAAGCGCGCGAAAGGGAAGAGATATCGTTACCGTCGCGGCGAACTCCTGTCGCAACTATCGATCCGACCGGAACAACGTCTTCGGAGGAGACGGAGAAGCTTCGATACTTGTAGAACTCAACTTCACGCGAAGCAGAACAACAACGAAGAAATGCAGAAGAGGAAAAGTAAACCCTAGAAAGGCAATGGCAACCGACTCGTTCGAAGCTTACCTCACGCGAACCAGCGAAGCCGAAGAGGAAGCTCTACCTCGCGCGAAATGCAACGAAGAAACAGAAAGACGAAAAGCCTACCCGCCGCGTATAGGATTAGTTCTTAATTTTTTTATTAGATTCTTAATTTTTTTATTAGAAAAAAATGTAATTAATTTAAATAATAAAATTAATTAGCTAGGTCAATAGCAGTATAAATATTAATTAAATGCTTACTTAATAATAGAATAATTAATTAGATAACTATAAGTTTAATTAGTAGCTAAAATTTTTATAATTAATAAAATAATTATGAGTAATTAAATAATAATTAAATGATAAATTATTTCAAATAATTTATAAGTAATTCATAGTTAACATGTAAATTAAATACATAAGTAATTAGCTTTATTTATTGGTTCATTTATTTATTGGATAATTAAACTAGCTTCTTAGTATCTTATTAATAAGTACCTCATAGTTAATAATCAAACTACATTTAAAATACATTAAATTTAATTTCTAAATGAACTAGCCCTCTTAAATCCTGGATTATATTGTCAAACAGTTTATCAAGATTTATCATGATTTCACATGGGTCATATAAGATAATTTTTAGAATTTAACACCTTTAGGAGGTATTAAATCCGAATTTATAGGATTTACTAAATCCCACATAAATTAAATCTAATTCAATATAAAACAACTCATCATGTTGCTTACATTAAGTGATTAAGATGGTAAGAATGAAATGAGTCTAGAGTTGCAAACGAATCAAATGTTCAACAAGCTACTTGTTGTTTTGTTCAATTTTTTTTTTTGTGATTATTTAATTAACTAAACAAACAAATTTGAATAATATTTTAAATACCCAATTCTTAAATATATAAACTTGAACACTAATATGTTCAGCTCATTTGTGTTCATGAACAGCATCATTTGAAGCTCGTGAACATGCTCGACATTAAACTCTATTCATGTTCCATTCAGAACTTGTGAATAAGCTCGATAAAAACTCAACTAAGATTTGATTATAAAATTGATAAATATACATAATATAAATATTTTATATTTATAATAACTATATAATTATTGATAAATAATAAAATGTAAAGTAACTAAATATTATAATATATGCTAATCAAATATAAGATGAATCATAGATTGCTTGTGCATGAACGAGATCATTTGGTGGCTTGAAAAAACTAATTACAAATGTTCATGAACTTGTTTATTTGATAGCTCAATAATACTTGTTGGATATGTTCATGAATATGCTTCTTTGATAGTTTAAAAACATTTGCTAAATATGTTCACGAATATACTCGATGTAATTGTTTGTTAGGAGGCTCGATAAGCTTGTTTGTTAACTTAATGAATATCTAGAAGTATAGCTCGTTAAAACTTGTTTGTTTAAAACTCGATAAACATGAAGCAAATCGAATATGAACCAAACATAAACACTCATTAATTTAAATGAATCAAACATGAACAGAAACAATAAAGCTCGAATTAAACATGAACCAAACTTGAACATGCTAAATATGACCTAGAAAACATAATAATAAATGAATTGAAAGATGAACACTCACATACTTGACTTGGCTCGGTTCGTTTGCAGCCCTAAATATGACCTAGAAAACATAATAAAGAAGCTTGAAGCAAAAGTTCCTATCACCCATACAAGATTCACAACTAGCAATTTAACTAATAATATTAATAACAAAGAAAAAAAAATTCAACCAGCTATGGCCCAAATAGCAATATTTTTAACATATCATCCTAAACAAAGCCTGTGACAAATTTCTTATTGTTGTTTAAAGTGACTTTCTAGTACAAAAATTTATAATCCAAGAAATTTTTTGTATTAAAAAGCCATTTTAAAAAGTATGAAGAAAGATGTCACAAATGAAGCCTTAATGACAAATACTACTTTTTGGGTTGCCAGAGTTTCATAGGAAAGCAATAAAGATGAGGGTTTAAATAACACTTCTCTAACTAGATCTTAGGGTCAATTTTTTATTCTTGCAAGATCGGGTATGGTATAACATATATAGTATTGGGTCATGTTAGGTTGGGTCTTAACACTATGGTCCCTCTAACCTTCATCGTCTAAATATGGTCCCTCCAACATTCATCGCCTGACTATGGTCCCTTTGACCTCCATTGTTCTAATATGATCCCTCCGACCTCAATCGCTCGACTAATATCCCGCTGACCTACGTCATACGTCATATGACTATGGTTTCTTTGACCTTTGTCGCCTGACTACGATCTCTCCGACCTTCATTGCTTGACACATGTCTCTTTGACCTTTTATTACTTGATTATGATCTCTCTGACCTCTGTCAATCGACTACAATCCTAAGCCCTTACAATATAGTAGCATATGATCAGGTCGTATAGATTACTACCCTAAACCCTAAACACCGTGGTTGCCAGAAACCTATGGACCTCCGAAAGGACACTGTTACGGCTGCAGAATTGCAGAGGGGTATACAACCGCACCCATCCCAAAGGATAGAGACGATTGCAGGCCTCCGCGCTCCTCAACATATAGCATTATTATAACAATCTAGACTCTTAAACATGAAGATATTGTCCGCTTTGGCCTAAGGCACTCAGGGTTTTATCTTATTGGTATAACTTCTCAGGAGATCACCCATCCCAGAATTTCTTCTGGATGAGCATGCTTAACTATGGAGTTTTGGTGAGACTGTAGTCATGCGACGAAAGTCTATGAGATAATAGTAATCATGCGACGATGGTCGGAGATACTGCATTCAGTTGGTGGCAGAGATTAGTAAGACCGTATTCATAAGGCAATGGAGGTTGGAAGGACCGTAGTCAGACGAAATTAATAAGAGGGATTCTATTCGACGGGAGACAAAAGTCGAAAGATCGTTGTCGGAAGGCAATGGAGGTTAGAAGGATTGTACGCATGTGACAAAGGTAAAGGGGGTGTAGTCAATAGGTAACTGAGGTTTGAATGATAATAATTGACGGTCGATGGAGTTATGAAGGACAGTGGAGTTATGAAGGACATTGGTCGAGCGCATAAAGTCGAAGGACCGTAGTCAGACGATGGAGACCATAGTCAGTTAGTGACATGTGTTGAAAGAATTATAGTCGAGTGATGGTGGTCAGGGGGACCATAGTCGGTGGGCAACGAAGGTGAAAAGGATCGTAATTAGTGAGTGATGGAGGTTAGCAATATCATAGTAGTCGATCGGCAATGGTCGGAGAGACAATTGTCGATGGATGACAAAGGTTAGAAGGACTATATGCAGGAGATTGAGGTCGAAGGGCCATAGTCGTGCGATAGAGATCAAAGGACCGCAATCAATGGGTGATAGAGATCGGAAGGACCGTAGTTGGCGGGCAATGAAGGTTGGGCGAAGGTACGACAATGGCAACTGGATGGAGGTCTAACAGAGATGGTTGAGTGAAGGTCCAGCCATGGTGGGTAGGCAGCAAGGGTTCACCGATGGTAGTGCCTAGGTGGAGCTTTGAGATTCTTCAAGCCTCAGAGCTCTTGAGTCTCTAGCCCAAGGTTTAAGCCTTCTCTAAAGTTCCCCAAATGTAAATAGTATGGACTCTAGTTATAGATTTTGATAGCGACATGCTCCGTAAATATGAAAAATATTCAGAGCAAATTCAGGGTGCCCAATCGAACAATCTGTATTGACTCTTCGGATTATAAAAAAAATTGTTATGAATTTAAACGTCGTAATGATGTCAGAATTGACTGACCCTAGGCTCGTTCGGTTCGTCTTGTCGAGCCACTCGATTATACTATAAGCATGTCATATTTGAAGATTATTTGGTTATCCAATTAATAATTTGAAGCTTTCAAATATGCTTCAGTATATTTATTTTTGCCCATTTGGGCTTAGATTGGATCGATTTTGGTGTCATTTGGTTTGTCTCATCGAGATGTTCAGTTTAGTTTGCTAAAATCAGAGTTTAGAAGGTCACAAATTTAATTTTAGAAGTTTTGAAACCATATATGCATCAAGATTCACGTCCTATCAAAGAAATTTCTTATGACATATCAAGCTTCAATGTCACTTGATATCATAAATATTAACACCAATCTTCAATATCAAACTGAAAGTCAAACTCAATTAATTAAATTATATCCTATCCATATTATCATTGTTGAATTAACCATTATATCTTGCACAAGTAGCCTCAAAATTTAATAATAATTATTTCATATTTTGAAAAAAAAATTTTAAGATCCCAATCAATCTAGATGGAGACAATCAAATCCTTTTCAAGAGAAAGATCAAAGCTTCGCTATAAAGATTCAGAATCTCTGGTTTCACATTTTTTTCTTTTAGGGTGGTTACTCTGGATAGAAATGAAGCTTATAAAATAAAACTATTTTGCCTATGTAAGACAATATCAAGTCTCTTTTAGGGCATCTCCAATCGAAAATGTCATTTTTCACTCCAAAATACAGGGAAATCAAAAAATACCGTTTTTCATCTCCAATCCAACGCCATTTTGACGCTAAAACAGTTGTTTTCTTTCGCGCCTTTCTTCCCTACCTGTTCGGTAGAGAGAAAAAATTGGCGCAGATGAACAGTGCAACGCCAATATTGACGTCGCACTGTTCATCCGCGATCAAATGGCGTCAAAAATGGCGATCGGTTGGAGCAAAGCAAGAACCGCAAACACTTGTTTGCCGTTCGGTTGGAGATGCCCTTAGTAGATGGAAATGTTTATTGGGCTCAGTTCATTAGCTCACCGTGCTCGACTTGACTCACTTATACTTCTAATTATAAAATATTCCAAATAAAATTTGAATCATTTTTTTTAAGTATAATTTTTTATAATATTTATAACATCATCATATATTTTATAAGATACATTAAGATAGTAATCAATAACTATTTCTTAAAAAATTAAGGTTTCATTTGTGACCTGTTTATTAAAGCAAATTTTTAGTAAAAAATTGAAATTTTTTCTGAAAATTTATTTTAAAAAATAATAAAAAATTTATCCCAAACTAAACTTAAGAAAAAAATTGGCCTATTTTTTAATGATTAATTTATATAAATTTTAATATTTTATAAAAAAATTTAATGAACTTAATACATATGCTCATATGGAAAATGCAGAAAATTTTAAGCATAATTTTACATAAATTAAAACTATTTTATAAAAAAAAAGTGTGAAATTACTAGTATGCTGCGTAGAAAGTATTTTATTACCATTATAAAATCTAAAGGCCCAAGGATATACATAAACTTCAAGACTAAAGTGCTTTTCCTAAAATAAATCGCCAAGTGGGCCCGCAAGAACATCAACTTACTTGGGCCCACAATCCCCTACCGAGACATCATGACCATCCACTTGGCTTCATCGTCTGTCAGTGTACACTAGATAGACCCTGCACTGTATCACCGTTCTCCCGACTCTGAACCCCGGCAGCACCGTAAAACCCACCTCCGGCCGACAATCAAGGCCACCCTGCTCCGCCTCCTCCTCATCCTCCGCCACGCTATCCATATACAAGTCCGAGAACCGGCTCCCCCTCCTCGCCTGAAAGATGACTCCTTTATCCTCTTCCTTAAAAGAAAAGAACAAGCAGTGAAGAAGCCAAACCCGCCTTGCCATCTCGGTAAATCCCTCAAAGAAATCAATCTCCGGTGATCCCCGGCCGGAGCTCACAAGCTTCCGTTGCTCGATATTGCCAAAGAATGAAGCTTCCATCTTCGGATGCACCAGCCCCAAATACTTCCCCCTGCAAAACTTCCCAAATTGGGATTTTCTCTCAAAACAATTCTTTTGCTTGAAGAATTTGAGCTCTGTGAACTCCGCAAAGAAGCTATGGCGGTCGCGCACCGGACCGCCTAAACCGAAATCTTGGCGCTGGAAATTGGAGAACATTATTTGCGAGACATAAGATTGGAATGCAAAGATGTTGTGATTACTATTTCGTTGGCGGCGGAGATAAGGCTGGATTACGCCGGCGGCGGCAGAGAGATCCCATCCGGCGGATTTCATTTCACGGACCATGATTTTGACGAAGGAACGGATGGATTTAACAGTGGAGCGGAGTAGGGTGAGGAAGTGGGCGGGGTTGAGGCCGGAGAGGTGCAGGTCGTCGAGAGCGGCAAGGGTCCGACCGGGTCGGAGTCGGACTTCCAAGGCCCGACACTGCTTTTCGGAGACCCGAAGCTCGGATTGGAGGGAGCTGATTTCGGATTCTTTCGATCGGAGTTCGTATTCCAGCTTCGCGGTGATCATCTTGTAAGTCTTGAGAAGGTTTCGTTGTTCTTGAACCTGTGCTTGTGCTCTGCTTGAGCTCTGTTTGAGCTGTTCTCTGTTTAAAAAACCCTGCTTAAGCTCGGAGAGCCGCTTGAGTTGGGTGACGACGGCGCGGTCGGAGAAGTGGATCACGTGAAGGTCGTAAGGCGCGTGAGCTAGCTGGAGCTCAGCGTACGCCGCCTTGACGGCGGAGACTCCGGCAAAAAGATTTGCGAGGAGGACTTCTATGTCGTTCTGGTGATCGCCAGTGAGTTCATCGGGGTTTTCTGAAAAGTTCGGCTTGTGGAGGGCGACGTCGCCGGAGATGGTGGAGTTGCTTCGGAGGCAGAGGATCTTAGTGAAGGCCTTGGATAGAGTGCCGAAGCTTGTCTTCGAGGTGGAATCCATGGCGGAGGGAGGAATCCAGAGACGGCGAGAAGATTTGGACAAGGAAGGCAGGAGAAGGGAGGAGAGCGCGGAAACTTGTCTTGGTCAAAGAGACAGCATTTAATTAAAAGAAACTCTTTAAATTATATATTTTCTTAATACGGAATATGACCGTTGGGCTCTTTCGTCCTTTTAATAATTTTTTGCATATGTAATTACGTTTCCCACCTTGCAATATTCCATATTCAAAATCAAAGGGAGCGTTTGATGATGTAATTAATCTCCTCGTCATTGGGCTCATATTTATTTTGCCCTACTAAAGAGGTGAGGACATAGTAGACGGGATTTAAAACCAAGATGGGGAGATCCTAATCGTGCTCGCCCACCAACCACTCTAAGCCTTGTTGGATAAAAATAAGAGAAATCAATCCTTATACTTTCCGCGGTTGTTTGATGGAGTTTTTCAGATGTTGATGAAACCAAAATATTTTGAAATATTATTACTTTTGGTGTTCGGACGTATTCAGAAGCTAATTTGAATGCGTCACGTCATTCAATACACAATACATTGAGTGATGTGACGCATCAGGATTGACCTCCGAACACGTCCAGTCTCCGCACATAATAATCTCTCAAACATTCGAAGCAAAAATATGTAAAAGAATTCTTTAACTCCTTTAAGAGCAACTTGAGTAGGAGAGAACTCTCATTTTTTAATAATCTCTAACAAGTGTCTCACACTCTCACTCAATCATTATCACAGTCGATTGCCTGCTGGCATTTGTTGATGCTCGATCATCAACAAATGCTTGAGCTGCTTTACTCAAGGTTTGCATGAAGGATTTTTCAAGTATGAACTCGGCATGTAGCAGTTAGGGTAATTTGGATGAGTTGTTTGAACTCGTCAATAGTCACATTAATGTTGTTGGGTTAATTAGAAATAATGATCACTTATTTTTTTGGCATTGTGTAGATGAAAATTAATGAACCACAATATACAAATTTAAACATTGATTATGTTGTTGATGGTAGAGAGAGTGTTTAATATATTAGTTTTTGGTAAGAAGATGGAACATACACAGAGATAAACAAAAAGTTATTAGAGGCATCGGAATTTTTATATGAAAAATCTAGAGGGTGTCAAAATCGGGTTGTGGGTCAGGTTTGGGTTGAACTCGGAATTGACCCGACCCTATTTTGACATGACCCAAACCAACCTGTTTTTGCAAACGGGTCGTAAAATGCAACCTGGACCAAACCGTTGGGTTTCCGGGTTGAACTGACCCGACACAAAATGGGCAAGGTCGCGACTGGGAGGAAGGCGACTCGTTTGTCGTCCCATAAAGCCGCGGAACAAGAACTAGGAAGGAACGTCGCTGACGCCCGAGAACTCGGTAGAAGAGGAAAAGCAAACGTTATGAAACCGAAGAAGAAGAAGAAGGAAGGAATGTCCGACGTCGTCGAGAACTGCGAAGCTAGCGGCTTAGCACCTAGCCTAGGGTAGGACCACGAATTGAGCGGCGGTGGCAGGACAGCAGGTTTGTGGGATGGCGGGAGACGGGGACAGGCGGATGGTATGGCCGTCAAGCAACTCAGGTCGGGTTGACTAGCTTACAGCGGGAGAGGCGGCGGTTGGAGTTCTCGGGTTGAACTAGGGTCATTATCGAGTTTCTAGATCAATCAAAATCCAACCTAAAATTTGTAACGGGTCGAAATTCAAGACCCAAACCCGACCTTTTCAAAAAAATTATGGTCGGATTCGAGTCTGATTTTCAAGTCTTATCAATTTTTGACATTTTTAGAAAAACATGTCAATGTGTTAAAAACAAATTACTAATTTTGAGATTGCTATATTTCAATCTTTTTTTTTTCTTAGCCAACTATATTATAATCTTAAAGAAATTTCTATTCCAAATGCTGGCTGGGTTTTTAAAATAAATAAAAAAATATATATAATTTGAATATTTAAATAAAATATTCTTTTATTTCAAAATTCTTCAAAGAAAATAAGCTTTTTATGTGAATCTAAAATTTTAAAAGGGAGCTAATAATTACTAAATACCTTTCTTTAAAATTAGGCCACGACTAATTTCCTCTTAATTATAATTATTTTTCAAGTCATCAAGAACTTCATAAATTTCTTCAAAATGACATCATATTGTCCATTTTCCTACCTTCAAATTAGCAGTCTCATTAGCGTTTAACTTATTTTTTGGCATCTGTAGGCTGACTTTATAAAAAATTTATTTTGAAATTGACATCTTTTTATAAATAATTTCCTTAATGGCTTTGAATTCTTCTATTTTATTGTAAGCTTAAAAGTTAGTACTTCATGGTAGCAATAATGTTGATATTTCTCTTATAAATTTAGTGAAGAATTTTATTATTGGCTTAAGGCAATGACAAATATGCCCTCATAATTTTAAGGTATATTACTCTCTCTCTCAAGAAATTATTAAGTGTAGTCACCTGATGGTTCAGAGACGAATCAAAATGCGTCATGTCACCACGGTACACAGCACAGGTACACAGCACAGGTGCACAACCAATGACGATGTGGTGCATCCTGATTCATCTCTGGACGGCGTCCGATGACTGCACGTAATAATTTCACCTTTCTCTCTCTCTTTATTTCTCTTTACAAAGTAATTTTATCATTAGAAGGTAATAAGAGGGATTAAATTTAATTGAAGAAAAATTGTTATTTATATATTTATATATATTTTGGTTTTACCGAACAGTATTAAGTCAATTAATTAATTTGAAATAAAATTATTAAATTAATTTATTTTAATAATAATAATCTATATTTAAATTATTAATATTAAATATTTAATTAATTATTAAATTGATTATGATAAAAAGGTGATAAATAAATTTAAATATGAATTAAACAAAATATAATATGGTGGGCTTTATGCCTTCATTTATGTACAGTTCTAACAAAAAAAATAAATTTAATTAATATTATATAAATAAATATACAAAAAATTAGATATATAAATATATAAAAATTT